CTGCGTTTGCGCGGGGAGCATTGGGGCCAAGAAGAACCAGCGATGCGCTGAAGAAAACGGGCGTTGAGCCTGAATCCCACCCCTGGGCATCACGCCCATGCGAAGAGCCTTCCGCCCAGCGTTTAGACACATTGCACCATTTCATCCTAGAGCATTGCGCCCCCCCCCCCCCCCCCTGGATAACAGCAAGAGGATTGCGCCTGCTGTGGATCCTTCGCTATCCTCCTCGTCCTACACAGGCATTGCGCCTTTGACTACACGCTGGGTGTTGCGCCCATGTGAAATTGCATTGCGCCATGGGTGGAACATGGCGCTCCAAATGGGCACGACGTGCTCGGGTAGTTCTCCCGATTCCCAAACCAGAATAACCAGACAAACCAATGACACCACATGGAGAAAATACTAGTATTCACATTGAATAATGGTGAACGAAGCGGGTTCGCGGAGGAAGGGGGGGGGGGGGCGGGGGCGGCCGCTGGGGCGGGGGAACTGCGCCTCTGCTCTGTACCAACGGCCACCAAACACTGTTATGTTCTACAAGTGCTATAACATTCGAAACCGAATGGCCACCAAACACTGCTAGTCTCTATAAGTTTGAAAACATCCACAGTTCCAGCTGCCATTTCAGGCGGGCCCGAATGGTTTCAGGAATGATAGCAATTATAGAATTCATCGAGAATAGCAGCGCGCGGTGGCCATTCGCCTTCGGGAATTAGAACTTCTAGACAACAAACAATGTTTGGCGGCCGCTGATGCAAAGCATGGGGAGCAAGAAGAACGGGGAAGAAGAATGGGGCAAGGAGAGCGGTGCCTCTTGCCCGAAGGATTTGGCGGGGGGCCCCTCGATGGGGGGGCCGGCAACTACCGGGCGCCACTACCAGGTGCTACGACTAGAAACAAGTACTATGGGTAGTAATAGTACCACTACCACTACTACGAACGAGCAACTACCACCACTACTACAACCACGTGGTTCGTGCACCTGGCGGCGAGGGGCGGCTCCGAGGACCTCTGCCTCTTCGCCGGGGGCGCCGAGTACTTCGCCCGGCGCAGGGCCAGCGCGAGCGCGGTCGTCGTCGACGCCGCCGCGCTCTGGCTCAAGCTCCGGGGCGAGGAGCTCGCGCGCGCCCGCGAGAGCGAGGTCTCTGCGCGAGCGAAGTGGGCGCGGAAGGAAGGGCGCAATGCTCAGCGGCAGCTCCTGTTTTATACGAAGACGATTCGCCGTCGGCGTCGCCGCGGCCAGCGCTCATTCGAGACAGAAGGCCGCCTGCCCAACTACGGCCGCCGTTGATTCTGGGCAACAGTTATCGCGGGGCATTGCGCCCATTCTTTCCGCGCGCATTTCGGGCGCCCAAGTGGCGAACGCCGCGGGCGCCAAGATACGCATCGGGAACCTCCGCGAGAAGTTCCGCGAGACGCGCAACGAGCGCGACAAGGCAGCCTTCGAGATGGAGAAAGCCAAGTACTTAGCAGACCACCCCGGCCACAAGGAGCAAGTGGAGCAGGCCTACTCGAGCGCAGGAGACAAGCACAGGATCGCCCTCATCAGCATCTCCGCGGTCGAGAACTGCGTCGACCCGAGCAGGGGGCCGAAGTCCGCCAAGAAGCGCGGCGCCCTTCTTGTCCCCTGCGCAAGGCGCTGCCGAGTCAGCGACGTGAACCGAGGAGGGCACCTGGCGGCGCGACGTCACCTACGAGCGGCGCGATGGCGAGACGGAGCGCGTCCGAGCAGGCGAGCCCCCGGGAGCGCTGCTCAAAAACTGGCGCAACGCTCTGCTCGGGTTCTCCAAGGCGGACCGCGCGAGGGTCTTCGAGGCCATCGACGCGTGGGAACAGCCGAGAGCCAGGGCGGACGAGCTGGTGGCATGCTGGACCATCGACTTCATCGGGCAGGAGCACGGCCAGAGCCTCGCGTTCGCAGGCTGCCCCTCGAGCAAGTGGGCCGAGGCAGTGGCGCTGCGAGCGCGGCTCAAGAATGCCATATACGCGCCCATGGCCCCCGACACCACGAGCTTCTTGCAAGAGCCCGACACCCGCGAGCACAGCCAGCTCAAAGCCAACGTTCGAGAGGCCAAGGCAGAGGCGCACTGGGCCATGGAGCAAGACTGGATCCAGAAGGCCAAGGCCGAGCCCCAGAAGGAGTGCAAGTCCCCGACACACTGGGGGCCCTACGAATGCCTCTACTGCGTCTCCGAGGCCTGCGCCCGCTTCCGCGGGCAGAACAAGGGCGCGGTGCCGCTCCAAAGGCTGCGAGCCAACCAGATGCTCGCGGTCCGGCCGACAGAGCAAGGCGAGCTCAAGGTCGTTACGGGGATGGAGCCGTGGAGCTACTCCATCGAGCCAGGCCGCGGCAACGAAAACAGCCTGGCGAAAGAGCGCCTCGAGGGCACCCAGAGCCGGCCCAAGGGCGCGCAACCCGTGCCCGAGTGGAGCGCCCTCGACGGCGACTGCCTCCACAACGACGACTTGCCGACGGACTACGAGGGCGAGAACCCCTGCCTCCTGGAGCTCCGAACAGGGGACCTCGAGCTCACCCACGAGCAGAAGGAAGTGCTCTAACCGCCAGAGGAGCGGATCAAGGCCATCAAGTTCCCGCGCGCCCTTGAGAACAGGATCAAGCTGAAGCGGACAACCACGCGCAACAACAGGTGGGCGCCCAAGTTCGCGGGCCAGTTCCTGGGCAAGCACGCTCGCAAGTGTCAGCGCGAGAAAGACCAGACTGGCGGCGAGACCTCGCTCGAGCACCTCATCAGAGGCGCTGCCGAAGCGAAGCTCTCACAGGCAGGCCGCCAAAGGCGCGCGCGAGCTTCTCCAAGAAGTTCAAGCAGGAGAAGCAAGCGGACAAGAACGCCACGAAGAAGGACAGGGCCAAGCAGAAAGGCGGCCTCGAGGCTTGCGAGGAGCCCCCCATGGCACGGCAAGGTGGCGCGCGACACCGAGGGCAGCAACTGCGAGGGCAGGCGCGGCAGAGTGCAGGGCGTCTGGCGAGCCCTGGGCACCGAGGACGGGCACCGCCTGCGCGTCCTCGAGGTGGAGACCGCGGCGATCTTCCAGATCTGTTGCAGCGAGGCTGGGAAGGTCGCAGGCACTCGTCAGCTTCCGCCTGCTTCTGCCTGGGGCGGCGGAAGCAAGCGGAAGTTGGCGGGCAGGAAAAGAAAGGAAAGCTGAAGCAGGCGGAAGCAAAGCGAAGGGGAAGCAGGCGGAAGCTAACGAGCGCCTGCGGATCCCGAGCGCCACAGGTCACGATGCAGCAAGACTACAAGTTCCCTTGGCACCAGAGACCCGACTGGCGCCAGACAAGACACGCTTGCCGCACCGCGCTCGCCAAGGAGTGCGCGAACATGAAATGCGAGCAGATCGTCAGAGGCGACGCCATCGAGCTGGGCGCGGTGCGCGCGCTGCTGGGCGGGATCGAGGAGCGCGTGGGCGTCCCCGACAACGTTCTGGTGGCGAGCCCACGGCGGCCGTCGCCTGGGCTCGAGAGGGCCAAGGCGAGGACGCACCCGCCGCCCAGCAGCCAGAGGAGCAGAAACGCTGGGCCGATAGGGTCGACAAGGCCCAGCACGTGCTGGTCTGCGTGCACTCCGAGTCGCCGGCGCACTACGCGCACCTCAAGGTCGGCGGTTAATGCCCCCCCCCCCTCCACCCCCCCAGGGTGCCTCCAGCGTTCCGCTCCGGTTTGGGGCGAATCCTGGAGGCGCCCTGGGCCACCTGGTCTCGAGGATCGACGGGGGCGGCGTCGAGGTGGAGTACCGCGACGCCCTCACGCAGCCGCCCGAAAACGCCAAGCAGGCCCAAAAGGGCCACGTGCGAACTCACGCCTACACCCCACGTTTTCTGAGGGGGGAAAGTGAAGTTTATTTTGCTCGGGAGCTGCCGAGCGAAGTGTGCCCCGCCCTCCTCCTCCTCAGAAATCGTGGGTCGGGTTCGCACGTGGCCTCCCAAGGCCGCCACCAGGATCCTCCGCAAGCTCGGCGCCATTGGCCCTGGCGAGCATTGCCCAGCAACGAACAACAGACGGTACCAACCAGGTTGACGGTTGGAGCTGCGGCTTGTGGGCGAATCGCTGGATCGAGCGTGCCCTGCGCGAGATCCGAGGCGAAGGCCGCCAAAAATGCCAGCAGCCCTCCACACCATGGTCGCACGAGGCAACGAGTTCATCAGTAAACTCAAGGAAGCCAGTGACAACGACATCGCGGTGGCCAAAGCCAAAGAGGCCAAGGCCATGGCCAAAGCCAAACACAAATCCAACCCCTGCAAGGACCCCACGGCGGCCGAGCCGAAGTACGCCACCTACGAGGAGGCTAGCGCCGCCGCCCAGTTTTGCACCAAGTGTCTCCCATGCAAGGACGGCACCAAAGGATGCCGTGTCTGCGTGGGAGAATGGCTCGGAGTCCAGCGCAAGAGGGGTTTCTTGTCCAGACCGGCCAAGGACATTTTCTGCGCTGGCAAAATCAAAGTGCCTGCTTAGCCACGAACCTCGAGATCGCTCGAGTCAGCCTTGTGTCGTGCGACTCTGCGGGCAAACAGCCACGAGCCTCGCGTTCTCTCGAGTCAGCCTTGTGCCGTGCACCTGGTTTAACCTCCTCCTCCTCCTCATCATCATCGTCATCATCATCATCATCATCATCATCATCATCATCACCATCACCATCACCATCACCATCACCATCACCATCACCACCATCATCATCATCATCATCATCATCATCATCATCATCATCATCATCATCATCATCATCATCATAACCAACTTACCTTTCCCGGGAAAATCATTAATTATCGCCGCGGGAACCGCGAACTTTATTATCCCAGGGGGTTTATTATCGCCCGCATTCGGTTATGATTTTTTCAACAGCGCCCGGATGTGAGGGTTCTCGCGCGTCGAGCGCGGCTCCTGATATGATAGCACGTCGGTGAGTTGTTATCCCGCGCCCTGAGGACGCAGAAGGCGGCCGCGAAACGGGGTTAGGCAGTGTGACTTTCAAGTCCCCTGAAGCCACGCGAGATGGGGAGGAGGAGCTTCCGCGGCTGGCAGTCGCGCAGCTCTGGCCCCAGTGGCACCACGGCCTCGGCCACAGGCGACGGCGACGCAGGATGACGACGGTGCAGACGACGACGAAGGCGGCGACGACGACGACGACGGCGACGACGACCACTTCGAAGACCACGACCACGACAGGAAAAACCATGACGGCAACCACGACGGCAGCCACGACGACGGTGACCCCGACGACGACGACAACGGCGACCACGACGACAAAGACGACGACGACGTCGACGACCACGACGACGGCGACGTCGGCCGAGGGGGCGGCGGCGACGGCGAAGAAGACGACGAAGGTGGCGGCAGCGGCGAGGACGGCGACCACGAACGGGGCCGCGACGGCGACCACGACGGCAGCGACGACGGCGATGACGACGATGATGCCTCGCCCGCCAGGGCGCCGACCGCCGCGCTGATGCCGGCGCCGTCGGCGGGGTGCAGCCACAGCCGCACGACGGCCTCCGGCTGGTCCCGGAACTCCAGGCTGAAGGACTCCTCCTCGGGGCGCCGGTGGGCTTCGCTACCACCACCGCGGACCAGGGTCCCCTGGCCCATGGTAGCGCTTTGCTGGGCGTGGCTGGCGCCTCGCAAAGCTGCTGCCATGGGTCAGCCGCCCATGGCCGATGGTTAGAAAGCCTCTTGGAACCCATTATCGCGTCCAATAACGCACAAAACGGACGTAATGCATCCCCCATTGGGCCATTGGGGATCTGTGGAGGCCATTTGGGCACTACTCGGTGCTATGTGAACACTCTGCCGCGCTTCTGTGCGCTATTTGATGCTATTCAATGCTACTCGCCGGTATACATATACATATGTGTATATATAGAGATATAGATATAGATATAGATATAGATATAGATATAGATATAGATATGTGCATAATCAATCAAAGACGAGCGGAAACTTCCGTGGTATACTCTCTAATGGTGGCAATGGAGGAGGAGACCCGCAACACGATGTCCATGAGCGACCCAATTGCCCAGAAGCGCCAGGGTCCAGCGGTAAGCATGCCTGTTGACACCATGCGCGCTACCCCGAGGCCCACCGAGGCCCGCCGAGGCCCGCCGAAGGCCCGCCGACGGACGCCCAGCACGAGCCGAGGGCGAGCCGACGGCGAAAAACCGTTGGTCGTGATGTGCTTCGCAAGGAGAGGAAGTATGCCTATCGAGGCAGTCCAGGCACCCCCAGAACGCCCTCGACGAGGTGCAGCTGCTGGGAAGCATCCCGAAGCGAGAAAACAGCCCAGCCCAATGACAACCTCCACCCCCTCCCACCTCCGACGACGAAAACGACGAAGGGCCGAGGGCGCGTAGAGGCAGCGCCGAGAACGCGCCGAGAGCCGCCGAAAGCCCGCCAATAGGGAGACCAAATGATACCGATACCCGCTACTCCTCGGACCTCGCCTGGGGTGCGGTCTGACCAGAGCTGCGACGCGAATCCAGCCGTGGCGCCGAGGGCCTCCCAGGAGGCCCAAGAGGGCGAAGCACATCATCCCCCTTTTGAGCCGAGGGGACGCCACACGGCCCACCGAACGGCGCGCCGAGGGCCCGCCGAAGGGGCGCCGAGGACACGCCGAGGGCCGCCGAGGCCCACCGAGGGCCCTTCGAGGGCCCGCCGAGGGCGCGCCAAAGGCATGCCGAGGCCTCGAAGCCCAGGCGCCCGCCCTCCCACAGGGGCACGACCTGGAGGGGAAGAAAACGTGGACCTTGACCAAGAGGGAACGCAGAAGCGTCGTGCCGATCTTGGACACCGTAGATCTTGGTCAGCGTCATCTCGTTTCCTGGATCATCCTGGCAAGTCGGCGACGGCCGACATGGACCATGACCAAGGTTGGCACCGACAAGATCCCGCGACATGTTGGTCATGGCCCCCTGTGCTTCTTCCCTCAACGACCAGCGCCCGGGTGCTGCGGCCCTCCGCGCCCAGGGCCAGCTCCAGGGAAGCCTCTGGCGGGGGGCGGCGGCGGGCGCGCTGCTCAGGCCATCGCGGCGCACCGCCGGCCGTCGCCGTCGCCGTCGCCGTCGCCGTCGCCGCAGCCGCCGCCGCCGTCGTCGTTGTCGTGGTCGTCGTCGTCGTCGTCGTCGTCGCCGTCGTCGTCGTCTTCGTCGTCGTCGTCGTCGTCGTCGTCGTCGTCGTCGTCGTCGTCCGCCCGAGCCGCGGCGCTTCGGCCTCCACAAAACTGCTCGCGCCGCGAAAAAAACAATTGGCATAAGGTTGTTCTCGACTTTCGGCCACCAGAGGCCCTCAGCGGGCCGGAGAATCGAAAAGAGGCTCAGGATGAAAAACTGTTCACCGGGAAGGCACGCTGGGGTCTGGGTCCTCATCCTGCACCAGCTTCTGCTCCTGCTCCTGCTCCTGCTCCTGCTCCTGCTCCTGCTCCTCCTCCTCCACCTCCTCCTCCATTGTTCCTGCTATCCCTCTTGAGTATCCTCGCTCCTCCTCCTCCTCCTCCTCCGCCTCCTCCTCTTCTGGTCTGAAGCCTCGTTGTCCCTCCCTTTTTGTCATGCTCGTGCTCCATCCTGATTGTTCGTCCTCCTCTTGCCTCCCTGCTCCCTGTCGTCAACGTCCCTCTTTCTCCGCCTCCTCATTCCTTCTCCATCCCCCTCCTCTCACTCCGTCCCTTGTCCATCCTTGCAGGGGCAGTGAAACAACTAAATCCTCCTCGTCACAAAACCAAACATGTCGTTAGGGCGCATTGGGCGCTTCGACTGAGTCGTCTTCACCGCAATTGATCATGAAGCTTGAAACGTCCAATCGTTACAGAGTTGCATGACGGGCCATTTTCAAACTGTGGTGTTCGCCTTAGCGCCGCGCGCATTCGTCCTCCTGAAATCTCCAAATTATAGAATAGAGGATAAGCCGTCGTAGTTCCAAATGTGGCACTCGCCCTCGCGTCACATGCATGTCATTTAGCCCCTTTGAATTTCCATGTGTCGCGAGAATCTCCGTAGAACTGTGGCGAACACTTGCGACCTCACATGTGTAGATCCGATCACAATAAGAAGTGTGCAACAGCTGGGAGAACTGATGGCGAGCCGTTTTTTTTTTTACCAGGCCTCTGATGGGCACTGCCTTGACATTGATGGCCCTACCATTTCGCACTCCACATCGCTAGAAGGTGAAGGGCGGTCCTTTTCAAAACAGGGCTCGCGCCAACATATCTGGCCATGCCGATTTCTTCATCAAGGCGGACCTTCCAATCCTGAGGGGGGAACGTGTGGGGGATTTGGGGGAGACAGAGTGCGCTGCATCATCGCGGACAGGGAGATCGTTAGGAGGACTGGCTCAGCGTGGGGAGGGGAACATCGACCTTGAATCGGCGATACATCGCCGATAGATCGGCTCCGCACGCTCCAAGGCGAGGTGGGCTACCGGGCCCCCATGGAAAGGCGATTGGGGGCCGTTGCGTCCGCCCCTGAGCCTACCCCACCCTCCCTCAACGTTGCCCCTGAAGGGTGCGCTGCACCATCGCCGAGACCTCGTCGGTTTACTGCTTGGTCCTCACCACCCTCCGTCCTCGCGCCGAATGCCGGCCTGGAGGGCGTGGCGGGCGTGGCGGACCCTCGATACCCGTCAGACATTTCAGTATCTCATGGGCGCCAGACCGTACACCACTCATGAATGCAATAAGAGCCAACAACACCAAAACTCCACGGAATTCAATTCTGAAAGGCCCAGCCTCCCCGAGCTCGTTGCACTCCGTTTCGCTGGGCGTTCTCTGCGGGCGCGCCCTGAACAGGGGGGGCACCAGCTCGAGGGGGCGGCCAGAACCCCTAGCTGGTGGTTATGGTTCTCTCTTTTCTTGTGAACCACTGGCGGGCTCGGCTACGCAGGGTGGGCTCAGCCCGCGGTCACGTCTTTGCGTCTCCCTTCCCCCCTACATCCCTCACCCTGAACTCCTCCGCCTGTAAACTTCTCCACCTCCTCCTCGCGCACCCCGTGCGGTGTCGAGGAAGTGCCACGCCTGCCACGCTCTGCGGGGCCGCAACGGATAGGGAGACCACCCCCAGCGCACCCCCTGTGGTGTCGAGGACGTGCCGCGCCTTCCACGCTTTGCGAAGCCGCAACGGACAGGGAGACCACCCCCAGCGCACCCCCTGTGGTGTCGAGGAAATGCCGCGCCTGCCGCGCTTTGCGAATTCGCAACGGATAGGGAGACCACCCCCAGCGCACCCCCTGTGGTGTCGAGGAAGTGCCACGCCTGCCACGCTTTGCGGGGCCGCAACGGATAGGGAAACCACCCCCAGCGCACCCCTGGTGGCGTCGAGGAAGTGCCACGCCTGCCACGCATTGCGAGGCCGCGACGGATAGGGAAACCACCCCCAGCGCACACCCTGCGGTGTCGAGGAACTGCCACGCCTGCCACGGTTTGCGACGCCGCAACGGATAGGGAGACCACCCCCAGCGCACCCCCTGTGGTGTCGAGGAAGTGCCGCGCCTGCCACGCTTTGCGAGGCCGCAACGGACAGGGAGACCACCCCCAGCGCACCCCTGTGGTGTCGAGGAAGTGCCACGCCTGCCACGCTTTGCGAGGCCGCAACGGATAGGGATACAACCCACAGCGCACCCCCTGTGGTGTCGAGAAGATGCCACGCCTGGTACGCGTGGACGACTGGGGCGTGCTGTGCTGTGCTGGTCTGCGCTGCGGTCTGCTGTGCGTTGCTGTGCTGTGCGGTGCTGTGCTATGCTGTGAGTGTGTGCGGTGTGCTGTGTTTGCGTGAGTGAGTGTGTGTATGTGTATATGTGAGTATGTGTATGTGTGTGCTGCGCTGTGCTGTGCTGCGCTGTGCGCTGTGTGTGCGTGTGGTAGTGTGTTCGTCTGTTTGTGTGTATGTGTGTATGCGTGTAGTATGTGCGCCTTGATGCGCCGCGCCGCGCTGCGCCGTTGGCGAGGGGGGGGGGGGGGGGGGGGGGAAGAGGACGGGGGGGGGGGGGAGAGGTGAGTCGCGGGCGCGGCGCGCTAAGGAGGAAACGCGGGCGCGCCGCGGCAGAGAAGACAACTGAAGACCCACCAAGCAGGCGGGGGAAAACACTGATATAAAAAAGTTCGCCCTGGGCGGGGAGGGGGCAGGAAGTAGCGGGAAGAGACGGAGACAAATGAAAGAAGGGGAAGGAAAGGAAGAAGAGGAAAACCAAAGGACAAGACGCGAAAGGAAAGGAATATGCGAAACATACAAGAAAAGGAAGAGAATAATCATGAAAGGGCAACGAGCTGAAGGGATGAAAGGAAGAGAAATCCTGCTTGGCCGTCTCAGCCTCGAGCCTCGCGGCCTCGAGCTGCTTAGAGAAGCTCGTGGCGGAAGTCGGCCGCCTCGCAAAGCGAGGCTCTCAGCTTCCCGCGCGAGCTCGGGGCCGCGGGCGGCGATGTCTGCGGCCCCAGAGGCTTGACAAGCTCGTTAGCTTCGTCGGCGCGACCATCGGGGTCTCGCTGCGAAGCTGCAGTAGCTCGAAACAGAAAACATCGAGCCAACGTGGCAACGGAAAGTTGATCGTGTCAGCTTGTCGTTGGTGCTCCTTGGTGTTCGCTTGGTGTTATTGATTGTGCCGCTGCTGTTGTGGTTTGTTGTTTCTTATGTTGTGCTTGCTGTTGTGTATGCTGTTGTTCGTGGTGCTGTTGTGCTTGATGTTGTTGCTGCTGTTGGGTGGTGTTGTTGGTGTTGTCGTTGGTGTTGCTGTTGTGTTTTGCTCTTGCTTATGCTGATGTTGGTGGTTATGTTGTTGTGCTGGTTGCGGTTGCAGTTGTTTGCTTGACCACTGCTGTTGTTTGCGCGTGTTGTGTTGCGCGCGTAAGCGTGTGTTATTTGTGCTGGCGGTTCTGTTGCTCTGGCACCTGTCTCTTGTTTTTGCCCTATTCTGGCGTCCTCGAGCCTGGGGGGGACCTCGCTGAGAGTTCCCAGCACCTCGTCCCCACTCTGCCCGAAAGCACCTCGCTCTCCCAGCGGTTCGCGAGGCGCCTCTGGGCTGAGTCGGCATCCGGGCCGAGGCCTGCGAGGCATCGCGCTGCCTCGCCGTTGCGGGCTCGCAGAGGCGCCCGCGCTCGTTGTTGTCGAGCTTCTTGTCCTCGAACGCGGCCTTCGCGTCGTCTGGCTTCTCGACCTTGGGCGCGGCCTTCTTGTCGCCAGGCTTCGTCCTTGAGGCTCTTGCCCCTGGGTTTGCTGGCGCCCCCCCACAGCGCGGCGGGTTCCGTCTCGCTCGTCCACTCGTCGCCCTTCGCCCACTCGCCGACAGGCCGGCGATCGTCGCTGTCCGACTCGGCCATGGAGGGCTGCGTCTAGGCCATGGTGCGCTGCGTCCTCAGCCCGCTTGGGATGCTTATGCCTAAGTTGGCCACGGTGGCGTGTTGTTCGCGTTGTTTGTTTTGCTGCTGTTCTTGTGTGTATTGTTGCTTTGGTTGGCTTTGTTTGTCTTGCTGCTGATTGCGGGCGCGCGGGTGTAAAGCTGTTGCTTGTTATCCCTGCTGTTTGTCGTGGTGCTTGTCTGCCCTGCTGTTGCTGCAGGCTTGCTGTGTGCTGGTGCTGCCGTGGCTGCGGTTGTTTGTGTTTGTGTTCTTGTGTGTGTGTGAGTGCGTGTGAATGTTTGTGAGTGTGTGTGTGTGTGTGCGTGGGTGTGTGTGGGTGTGTGCGCGTGTGCGCGCGTGTGCGCGCGCGTGCGCGTGCGCGTGCGTGTGTGTGTGTGTGTGTGTGCGTGTGTGCGCGTGTGTGCGCGCGTTGGTGCGCGCGTGTGCGCTGGCGCGTTTGCGCGCGCTTGTCTGCGCGCGCGCGTCGAGGCTCAACCCTCGACCCTCGGATCGACGACCCGAGGTCCTGGAGCCCAAGCACGGCGATTCTCGGGTCTACGATCCGAGGCGCTCGCAGATACTCATGGCCAAGATCTCGGGCCCTCGATCCGGGGATGGAGGATCGAGCCTGCTCGGTGGCAGCGCGGGCCCGAGAACGACCAGAGAA